TTTATTATGAAATGAAAGAAATACAATTATTTTAAATCATAGAATATAAGAACCGACATAAAGAACTGAAAAAAATTTAACGGTTCCGATTTTGGTTCCGGTTCTGTAAGCTTCATAAAATTTCGGTTTACGGTTTTGGTTTTTCAAAAATATCGGTTTCCATACGGTTTTCGGTTCTAGTTCCAGTCCGGTCCGTGTCCCTCGTTACTAGATACCTTGTATATGATGAATTCTATATCTTTATTAACAATTAATGCAATATATTTCAGTGTTTCTTTTGTGCTACGGAAATGGAATTCAGATCCTTATGTAAATCAATGCAAGAGGAATTAACAATGCCTGAAAAGCAGCCATTATTTGAACTTTGTTCAGAGCGTTTAGCACATTGGTTACCTGAAGAAGATGCTACTCCTGAGGTGATAGCAGCTTCTAATTGTAAGTATTTAGAAATGATTACAAAATTAACCACATTTCTAACTTTCAGCGTAATTTTGTTTAAATATTAATACAGATATAGTGAAAAACTTGATAGTAGTAGACCATCCTGAGGATTTCGGAGAAAATTTTATTTTACATTTCTGCTGAAAAAAATTGCTCCTAAATTACGTTCGTTAAAAACACTCTTCAATGTAACGATAAAATCATATGATTTGAGATTATCCTTAATAGCACAAATATATATCCTCAGAATGTTCTACGAATACCCTTATCGAAATATCATACTAAGAATCATTGATAATTACTTATTATTTACTTAGTATTTTTAATACTGAAATTAAGTAATTATCAATGATTCTTAATATGATATTTCTATAAGGGTATCGTAAACGTATATTCTCAGAATATTCGAGATACGTTACCGCAAGTACTGAGAACATATTAAAAACGTTCCTATGTTACCTTTTTCTTACTTCTCAGTACATATAAATGAGAATATCGTCTAATATATTATATGAATATCTATGAGATCCCTTATGAAAAAGACACTAAGAAATTGAGTGTAAATACTCAAAAATTGAGCGTAAACACTCAAAAATTGAGTTTAAACACTAAAAAAAAATATTCAAAATATTATTCAATTTAAGGGTTAAATCGAATACTCAACGTGAATGTAATACTGAATTTGAGTGTAACCTCTGAACTTCAGTGTTGATTAAAGTGTTACTCTCTGGTTGAGAATTAACTTCAATGTTATTCTTAACTTGAGATTTAATTTGAGCATTATTCCAAAGTTGAGAGTAGAAATTCCTTGGTCGTGGAGACTAACTCCATTAATCGAAAGTTGAGAGTAGCACTCAAATGAATTCTCAAGTTGAGAATAACAGTAAAGTGAATTCTCAACTAGAGAGTAAGGGATCACGTACAATGAAGAATAATAGGCAGTAACAAATTTACCAATCAATATGTATCGTTTTATCATATGTAATTTTTTCCTACAGATATAAATAATTATTATGGAGCATTCCCAGCAAACACAGTTATATCAATGTTATATAACTGCAATAGAAATGATTATAATATTGCGTGAAAGTTATTGATATGTTACTGTTATGTTATAATTCCCCACTCATAGATGAAATATGTAATATATCATGTAACATGTAATATATCATGTTATATTATGGTTATATAGGAACATTAATTAATATTATATAACTGCAATATAACTAAGTAATGTTCCAGCTAACACATATTTTTTGGTTGAATGATTTATTTGTTAGTTATGCTTCAGATAAGTGATAACCCAGCAAACACAGAACATAACCGTGATATAACACAGGAGTAATATGTAATATAACTGTTATACGTTATTAATATTGAGGTTACTTAATTTCTTTTATAACTGCGAAATAACTATGTTATAAAACAGTTATGTTATTATGTTATTTACTGTTTAAATTATATTAAAAATATAACAGCAACGTAACTTTAATATAACATGTAATATAAAAAATCTAATGTTTGCATTACATTTCCGTTGTGCAATATTTTTATACACAAATGTGAAATTATATTTTAGGTGTTTCTCGTATAAACAATGTGATATTTTAATATATGCAAGGATCGTTATTACGATATTGTAAAACTAGAGTTCTTACAAAAAAAGTCTAATCATAACTTTACTCTGTCAAAGTATTGTGAGAGAGAAAGAAGGAATATTCTCTCTCTTTTGTGAGCACGTTGTAGGTTAAAATTTGATTACTGATACAAACATTGTATCAATATTAATCGCATTGTGATAGTCGTGCCAAACATTTACCAACAAATATGTCATAACATTTTTTGAACGATATAAGAGTATATTGTAAATATTATCTATCAATATCGTTACGGCGCATCGGCATCACCAGTTCACGGACGATCGTTGAAGTTAAGCATTGAACAACATGATCTAAAAATGGGTGACCGTCTGACATAGGATCGAAACGCGAGTTTCACGCGAATAATTGAAATAATACGGAATATGAAATGTCAGCTTTTTTTATTATTTAGACAAAATAATCATACATTATCACTTATCTGAATCATACTAATGAATAAATCGTTGGAATTCAACAAAAAAATATATTAATTCGCTAACGAATAATATATAACTCTTATATAACTTTTTAGTCACATGTTACTTTTATATTCACGTTATACAGGATGCCCCATTTTAATCGATCACTTCAAATATCTCTTAAATATTAGGCATTTTAGGGAAAAATGTTTCAGATAAAAGTTTTGCAATTTTGAGGGGACATAAGATGATATCATTGGTTTGACCTCGAGTGGCGTCGTCAAGGTCATGACAAGGTCACTTTGAATTTTTTAAATGGAACCCCCCACTTTTTATTACATATTTTTATAGCATACCTCGAGAGCTTTCCAAAACACTATAATAAAATATTTTTTCATTAAGTATCTTTTAAGTTAAAAGGCTTCAAAGTTACAATATTGTTGCCATTAGCATTGGTACCCAAGGTGTTCGAACGACGGCTAAAACCTTTTGAATGTTCAGAAAATGTTGTCCATGACCTTGACAACATTTGTCAAGGTCAAGGCGATTGAAGACTGTTCCTAATATTTTTATTTCTTTAAATTTTACAGTAAAAACGAAAATAATAATTTAAAATTATGGGGTAATATGTGGAGTCCGATTGACTCTCTCTCTCTCTCTCTCTCTCTCTCTCTCTCTCTCTCTCTCTCTCTCTCTCTCTCTCT